AAACAATGCCTAGAGAATTCACACACAACAAAATATAAAACAAACCACCAAAAGAAATAAGCTTGTTAGTCTTTAGTGGTCTATGAGATGAACATTGGAGACATGAACAAAATTATTTTACAATAAATGAATACATTGACTGGCTCTGTCCTCATCTATTGTAGGTTAAACAAATGCCAACAGATTTGTTTTTAATCCTGGTATATTCACACACAACAAGCAGAAATGCTTGACCATGAGCAGAAATATTTCTTACACAAGATTCTTTCAATTATGTCACAACAGAACACATTTTGTTAAAATATCATTTACACTTCCAGCGTTACCCCTTACCTTCACTAATGTCCCACCTTCACTGTTACTCCACCCCAGGAGTGCTAAACCCTTTAAAAAAAGTGGGAACCAGAGGTGGGGGGGGGGGGGGGGGGGGGGGGGGGGGGGGGGAGGGGGGGGGGGGGGGGGGGGGGGAGGAGGGTAGGGGGTGGGCGGGGGGGGGGGGGGGGGGGGGGGGGGGGGGGGGGGGGGGGGGGGGGGGGCCCCTTGTGGGGGGGGGGGGGGGGGGGGGGGGGGGGGGGGGGGGGGGAGGTAACTTAGCATTCCACCTCTTTCCAAATCATGTATAGAAATTCACAATTATTAAAGTATTCGTTAAAGTATTTTATAACATTCATATTAATTAAAATATATTATTATATCTAACCACCATCGGACACACTAAAACTATTATTGCTATACACATAAAAAAAAGCTACGGCCCCTTGAGCCTACCCTAACGATTCTTTGTTTCGGTGCCCCCCTATCCTACTCTCGTTTATACTCCAACCTGTATTATTAACTTCTTGTTCTTCAGTACCTTTACCTTCACTGTTTTTTCTGACCTTCACTGCTGCTACTTCTCCCCTTGATAGTTATTAAATTAAGAACTCTACAACAATACATCTGTCAACAGTTAGGAGATTCCAATTCAATATCTTTCAGGGCTCTATAATTAACTTCTCGCAACCACTGTACAAATGAAATTCAACATCCAACAGTATTTGACACTAAACATACCAACAGTATATAAACAATCTATACTAAACATTCTCGGTGCATAAAGACTTTATATAAAACATTCTCAGTACATAAACACTTTATATTCTTCTTCTTCTTCTTCATGTTCTGGTAATTCATCCACTGCTAACAGCAGTCCTGTTCCAAACCTAAGTGTTGTGTGTGCATCCATTTCACAGATCTGACTCATTTGTATGCAGACTGCTGGTTCCTTGCCTCTCAGGCAGATGCACTCCGACTTCGAAGAAAGCTCCGAATTATTCGACTCTTGCGACATGCTTTTAGGTAGGCAGTGGGTCTATTCTTTTTTTTCCCTTTAACAGGATCCCGTAACCCACGCGGAGAAACATTTTATATGAAACAGCTCTCTGTACAGAAACACTTAATAACTATCCAGCCTGTAGTACGTAAACGCCTTATGCTAAACAACTCTCAGTATATTATGTTTACAACAAAGTGTCTCTTAGCAGTTCCGAAATCCAAAATCAATTAGCTTATAACAGACAGATTTCAGTATACTGGCACTCCATAACAGACAGATCTCTGAATATGTACACTCCATATTAAGACAGATCTCAGTATACGTGCACTCTATAAGAGACATTTCTCAATCGTCCATAACAGACAGATCTCAATAGATGGGCACTCTATAAAAGACAGGTTTCAAGAGATGGGCATTCTATAATAGACACATTGCAGCAGACGGGCCCTCTACTCAATAATCATTGTCAGAGGTCAGTACGAGTATGGGATAAGGAGAATGATGGTGATAAATCTTCACGTCCCCACTAAATGACCTGTACATAAACTGTCGGTCAGGCAAGATGGATAGTGTGAGTTGTGATTGACTGAGCTGTACGCTTGAGAAAATTTTCGGGTAACCCGAAGTTGGCAGGTGAGCGGTGAAGGTAGAACAAAATGCTAGCACAGGAGATTTGGTAGAGAAGATTCTAAGACATAGTGATGGCGACATCTAGTACTGGACAGTTAGAGCGTAGCGTGTTATCGACCGTGGTAGTGACTGATAGAGATGTGTTTTGGCTACCATATGCTTTAATGCGAGTGTATGCTAGATATGCTGAGACAGCAGTCTGTCAATCTTTCCACAAGGGACTGTGATAGACATTCTGAGTGTTTTTCGCTGGCACAGGAGCGGAGCAAAGATGGGGCTATGAAGCTGAAACTAAGACTACCAGACTTGACAAAGTTAAGATCTTGTAGCATTGTTATGTGGTTAGGTTTGTTGATTAGATTACGTCAGATTAGCTATCTAAGGTTGTTGGGTATTGGCTGTGGTGATATTTTCTGCCCTCGATCATTCGGCCACTCACTCTGTAAATGCCTCCAGTCCTCATGTCGGGGCCAGCGACAGGGAAAAGAGCCTGTCGGGAGAAGTGTTGGTTTGTACCCGATGCTTATCCATGGGGAAAGAAAGGCGTGAATGGTGATTTGTAAAGCCATTACGGCCTATGTTTCGGTTAGGGGCACCTACACTCTCTTGGGGCAAACTGCCAGGATTTTGATGATATTTGCACATTAAATATTGTTGTTGTGTGCTCTAGAAGTGTTCATGTTCAGTGTGTTAGGGTAGATTTATCTGTCACCTGCCTGTAACTCAACCCATATGCCTTATGACAAAAATAAGGTTGTTGACAATCATCTCCAAGTATGACTTAACATACAAACACCTTATAAGGAAACACCTCAATATATAAACACTCTATCATAAACATCTCCCAATGCATGCAGCTTTACAATAAACACCTCGTTATCTAAGCACTCTACAACAAAACATTACAAAAAATATCTCCTTGTGTACATGCTACAATAACATTTCTCACTCCATAAACACCAACATTTTGTCTAAACTCATATCAAAAGGCATAAGCTATTATTAAACTTGTGTTTTAAGACCAAACCCATTTGAATAAAGTTTAAAAAAGAAAAAAAGAAAGTAAAGACCAACGGTACGCTAGTGGCGCATCAGCTTCTCCACGGCAAAGTGGCATTTGCCTCGTACTGTGAAGGTAATCTGTTTGTTTCACAGTTGCGTCACTTGGTCCCTGGGTGCAGTTTTCAAGGAGATCCCTGGGGATCATTGTTGGAGATACAGAGTTTGTGCTTTGTGCAATGCTCTTAATAAGCGCGCTCTGAAGGTTATTTGTTTGTTTCCACAACTGCGTCGTTCAGGCCACATGTGCATTTCTTTTTTTTATATACAGTAAAATTAGTGAAGGACCCAACACACAACTGGTGCATTTTGTTTAGCGCCAGATTCATATTTTTAAGGATAATTAACACTCAATAGGTTAACATAATGCCGGCCATCTTTACTTCCCAGGGCATTACCTGGTACCAATTGAAAACTGGGTCGACCTGGGAGCTAAAGGTGACTTCTGCACACACAAAATCAGCAGGAAAGGACCCTATAAAACCATTCTTGCATGCTAAATGGAGCCAGTTTTAACATACAGCTGTGAATCCTGGACAACTGATAAACAAGCCAAAATATGTTTGTCTCGAAGATGTAGTTTTACAGAAGAAACCTTAGAATTTTTTCAACAGCCAAAAAGAGCAACCCAGGTGTTTTGAAAGAAGTTTTCTGAAGTTTCAGTGCTGTTTCTCCTTTTCTTGCTTTTCCTGTCCTTTTCATCGACGTCAGTGGAACTGTCAGTATCACTGTCATGGCTATACCTCCTTTTCTTATTCTTTTTGTCTCTGCTGCTGTCATCTTTGTGTTTTCTGGGCCTCTTTTCCTTCTTTCTAACTCTATCACTAGGGCTTGAATATAACTTATCACAAATGTTAGAAGGAGACAGTTGTAATTTCTCGGTCATGTTATGAGAATAGGGAAACTGGAACATGTTTTGACCACTGGAAAGATCTGTGGAAAGAGAGACAGATGAAAACAACACAAGAAACCCTTTTAGTGGCATGGAGGGATGATAACAGACGAACTAGAATTAATACATGCAGTGGCAGACCGCAGATTGTGGAGAGGCATGATCACCCACGCCAGTTGGCAAAGCAACGGATGATGATTACACCATTAGTGTAGCAGGCATAAGGTGGTTTCAGATCCAAAATGTTCACAAACCAACTGACACTCAATAAGTAATGGGGCATGCTTTCAGCCTTCACATCCCATAATATGAAAACAAGTACAATGAAGGCTGGCTTCTTTGGACCCGCTGCCAAATTTGGTGATAACACATGGTGAGGTCGCAGGCTCCTACAGTCTCTCATATTACTGTCCGAAAACCATGAGAACATGTTTCTTTTAAAACAATAATCCCTTCATCAGGGATAAAAGGTAAAAGGTATAGTCGGGAGATGTGAACCAGCGTCATTGCACATGGTTATAAACCATAAGTGCTCTGCCCCCAGTACGGATAGCTGATAAGAAACTTTCCACCTGTGTCGCCGTCCGCAAGTAACTTCGTAGCTACAGCGACGTTCCTCCATTCAACGGAGAGCGTCAACTCTGGTACCCATTTCCTAGAAGCTGGGTGAACCCCGGGAACCGCCCGGTTTCGAACACCGACCGTGGCTGCAGCGAGTCGCAGCTGGATTTGAAAGCGAGCCTCCTATTCAGGAATATCAAACCCTAGTACTGGAGGATCGCAAAAGTGTTAAACGCATTCACTAACCTGCTAGCCACAGAGCAGCTCTAGGAACATTGCCTGACACCTCTCTGCCACTTTTCCCCTCGGACTTTTTCATCGTCACAATGTACTCCAGTTTTCCCCTTTTCATGTCATAAACAAAGAATGTAGATTGTCTCCTCTTGGACAATCAGATCTCTTTGTGAGTCAGTTACCTTCAAGTTATCTTCCTTACCCATTTTACCTGTCCAGGGTATTCTCATCAATGCCTATAAAACCACATCTCCGCCGCTTTCAATTAATATGAGAACATTAGAAAAAAACATTAAAAATTAACAAATATTAATGTTTTCTTCTTTTCCTTTGTCTGTGAGACCTGTGGGCGGCAGATTCTCTTGATTTTTTCTTTTCTCGTTCACTTTCCGTCTTCATATTTCGTCTGCTCTTTTTTCTCTTCGATTCCTCTTCTGTCTCACTGTCACTTTCTGAAGTTTCAGTGCTGTTTCTCCTTTTCTTGCTTTTCCTGTCCTTTTCAGCGACGTCAGTGGAACTGTCAGTATCACTGTCATGGCTATACCTCCTTTTCTTATTCTTTTTGTCTCTGCTGCTGTCATCTTTGTGCTTTCTGGGCCTCTTTTCCTTCTTTCTAACTCTATCACTTTCTGGTCTTTTCCTTCTCCTTTTTCTGTCTGAGCTCCTGTGCTTGTGTTCTCTTCTGGTGTGAGTTTTCTTGAGCGACTTTTTCTTTTGAGCGTCATCATTTTTGGCAGATCTGTCACTGTCAAAGGCATCTGGGTATAGTTCCTTGAAGCCTGCATGTCCCCACCTGAGAAGACAAAAGCAAACAAACATAACTGTAACTTACATAAACAAGAATATCAAACTAACATTGTACTCATCATCATGTAGCAGGTCCTTTGCAGAATGTCGCTCTCATCACAGTCTGCCTGAAAGAAACTCGGTCTCTCGCCAGTTCTCCCACCTCATGCACTTTCACCCTCAAGGAGTCACTTATATCCTGTGCCCATCTTCGTGTCAGTCGGCCCTTGCCCCTCCTTCCTGGTACCATGCCTTCTGCTATAATTTTTTCCAATCCGTCGTGGCGCTTGATATGACCAAAATATTTCAGCTTTCGAGAAAGGATGCTGTTTATTAGCCAATCTTCCTTGATGTTCAGATCTTTCAAGATGTCAATATTTCTCCTCTTAACATTGTACTAAAAAAAAAATTAGTTGCGAATACTTTTACAGGATGTTGCACAAACAGCCCCATCACTTTATGGCTGCTGAGGTTTTTCTAGGCAAATTTACATTCAGTAGTTTGCCACTCCTTCCTGAACGGTCGACTAATTAAAAACTTCATGAACTTGGATGTGTGGGGGTCGAACAGTGCAAATTTCACCGAATAACTATAAACCTCAATATAACATGCTAACTGTCTCTATAAGGGCAGAGGCACAAGAAGAAGAAGATAACATTTTTTTTTAAATGTCATTTTGTCTGGGAACAGAAATTGTGTCTTTTTAATTTTATATGTTTAATTTCACAAAAAGATGGGATTTCACTGCTTGTTCTTACAGGCAGGATAGACTATTAAGCTGATTCTTCATGCTGGAACAGTAGGATTCAGATAGCAGATCTATTCTATAAATTAGATGGTTTGTTGATGACCTAAAGACCATCTGAAGACCATTTATGAAGCTATGCTAATGGAAGATACAAGATTAGATGAAATAACTTGTGCAAGGCTGTGAGAATTTGCAATTAAAATGTGGGTGCATCAAGAAAGGATGTGACTGACAAATTATTTATGACAAACTAGATGTTGTGAGGGCCCTTAGGGAGCAAGGGAACAGTGCAAAGGCACAAAAAGATCATTAGTCTGAAGAGAATGGCGCTGCAAGGAGTCACCAGGGGAATCTGGCAGGCGATCAATACTCAAGGGAAAGGCGAGACAGATATACAATCATAGTTACTGGTACCATCAGAACTGGAACTCTTTATGTGCTGCTGAAGATGGGGGTGGAGCACTTATGGGAGTGTCATGAGTGCGGTGATGTCGATTCTTAATTCAACACAGTATGTATGAAAAGGAAAGTATGGCCTGTGCACAGCCAATGTGCTACTGAAAGAGTTAGCATCTACATCGTATAACAACAGGCACAGGTGACTCAGCAAGTATGGGTTTGCTTGGTGCAAGTATGGGTTTGCCAGGTGTAAGTATGGGTTTGCTTGTGCAAGTATGGGTTTGCTCAGTGTAAGTATGGGTTTGCTGGGTGCAAGTATGGGTTTGCCAGGTGTAAGTATGGGTTTGCTGGGTGTAAGTATGGGTTTGCTGGGTGTAAGTATGGGTTTGCTGGGTGTAAGTATGGGTTTGCTGGGTGCAAGTATGGGTTTGCTGGGTGTAAGTATGGGTTTGCTCGGTGTAAGTATGGGTTTGCTCGGTGTAAGTATGGGTTTGCTGGGTGCAAGTATGGGTTTGCCAGGTGTAAGTATGGGTTTGCTGGGTGTAAGTATGGGTTTGCCAGGTGTAAGTATGGGTTTGCTGGGTGTAAGTATGGGTTTGCTCGGTGTAAGTATGGGTTTGCTCGGTGTAAGTATGGGTTTGCTCTGTGTAAGTATGGGTTTGCTGGGTGCAAGTATGGGTTTGCCAGGTGTAAGTATGGGTTTGCTCAGTGTAAGTATGGGTTTGCTGGGTGCAAGTATGGGTTTGCCAGGTGTAAGTATGGGTTTGCCAGGTGTAAGTATGTGTTTGCTCGGTGCAAGTATGGGTTTGCTTGGTGTAAGTATGGGTTTGCTGGGTGCAAGTATGGGTTTGCCAGGTGTAAGTATGGGTTTGCTTGGTGCAAGTATGGGTTTGTTCGGTGTAAGTATGGGTTTGCTGGGTGTAATTATGGGTTTGCTCGGTGCAAGTATGGGTTTGCTGGGTGCAAGTATGGGTTTGCTGGGTGTAAGTATGGGTTTGCTGGGTGTAAGTATGGGTTTGCTCGGTGTAAGTATGGGTTTGCTCGGTGTAGATATGGGTTTGCTCGGTGCAAGTATGGGTTTGCTCGGTGTAAGTATGGGTTTGCTCGGTGCAAGTATGGGTTTGCTCGGTATGCTAGAATGTTGATTCTTTTCTTCTTCCTCTTCGCCCTCAATGGCTGTTTCTGGTTGTTCATTTATTTCTGGAATTTAGTTTTGTTCCGAATGTTTTGTTTTGTATGCAGATCTGTTTTATAAATCTGGCTTATTCGTATGCAGACTGTTGGTTCTATGCCTCTAAGGTAGATGCACAAAAACTTTAAAGGACACAACCCCAGTTAGTCGCCTTTTATGACATAGTTGTTAGGGGGGGGGGGGGCAGGGGTTCTGCGCTTACTTCCCCCCAAAAATGGGGCTACGGAGCCCACACAGGGACTATTCTGAAATCAGTAATCTGTTGATGTCCCGGGGAAAGCAATTATTTTACCTTTCTGGGTCGTTATCCTCAACCTTCTGCAGCTGCCTCATCCAGAATGTGCTGTTGCTGGAGCCTATGTCTGTCTGTCTATTCTCTGCAATCTCATCCATATGAGCCTGTTTCAAGCCTCGTCTATAACTCCTTTCCCATCTCATGTCCTTTCTGTGAAAACAATCCAACAATTCAAGAACACAATCCAATAATTTAAGAAAACAATCTAATAATTCAAAGATACAATCCAAGAACACAATCCAATATTTAAAGAAAACAATTCAGCAATTCAAGAACAGAATCCAATAGTTCAAGAACACAATTCAATAATTCAAGAACACAATCCAATAATTCAAGAATTCAACAACATAGTATAACAGTATTATTATTACTGTTATGCTAACTCCGTGGAGATAAACAGTACTGAGTCAATAGCTGTCTTTACGAATTCACGAATCACCATCAACTATTCAGATCAATATACGCTGTCATGTTTGGCCATCTCAAACAATCATCCAGAATCACGAATCAGGTCAGTGTTCTTGTCTCACCACCATCCATATGACCAAACCATCCATGTATTTATCTATTTTCCTTCCCCTGAGAGTGAAAATACTGCCTTGTGTAAACAAAAGGATCATGTGGGTTAAGTGGTGGTCTTTCATTTATTTTCTTTTTAGTGCAGTACAATTAATTACAGCTGGATTGCTAGGCCTGTCACAACATGGGGAGAGGGAAAGATCTGACCTGGCTGGTGCCCATCTCCTTTGGGTCATTGGCAGATTACTAAATTTCCCTCATCATCTCTCCATGCAGAAACTAGTCAACCCTTACACAGCTTGCTGCAGTGCAAAGCTCCTGAGCACTTGAACATTGAAAATATAAACTACGAGACAAGCAAACTACACAGTAGAACAATCTGAGAAAATTAAATGATAACTGAAAAATCCTTGCCTGTCATCATATAAAAAGGAATTTTTTACATCCGGATCTCTGAAAGCATTTCCTTTACTATCCGTCTTCGGTGTTTCCTCTGTGACTGTCTTTGGCTTGTCTGACTCATCTGGCTTTTCTCTTTTCAATCTGTAATAAGTCTGCCACATTTCTGACTCCTCCAATAGCTGCAAAATATAAATATTCATGAGTTTAGAAGTTGTGGCTCCCACTGCAGGTTCCAGAACCTAAATAGAGTCATGCCCCTTTAACAAGCATGTCATAAAAGGCAATTGACTTGCAATTTGCTGAAATCAAATGTGATAGGCTGAATGCTGCAGATACTGCAGCCTAGCTGTAAATCACAACACGCAGTGAGAAGTGCCCATTAAGGATAAATGAAGAGGAAGAAAGAAGAAGACTAATAAGAGGATAAGGAGGAGAAGAAGAAGAAGACTAAGCTGTGCTGGTAAGTTGGTAAACACTTTGGCTTGGAGTCAGAAACGGATGGGACTGAACACAGTGAGAATCTAGTAAAAAGGTAAACAAAGGTCCCATTATATGACAGCAGTGCAACAGGCATATGATGCCAGACTTACATTTAATAGACCCGTCAGGACTTGGATGAAGTGGGTCAACATCATGTTTTGCCCTTACTTCCCATGGCGCTGTGTGGCACTCATTTTATTTTGGGTCAATCTGGAAGCCAAAGTAATTTTTATTTCTAAAAATGCCAAGTGTGAATTGAATCAAAGACAACTGGGTCAGCAGGCAGGCATCTAAACTAGTGTTCTTCGACTGGTGGGCTGCAAAAAGGTTCAGATGGGTGGCCAGCAATTGTTGCCCAATCATGTAACTGGATAGGGTAGGTAGATTTTATGAGGATTGCAGTCTGTAGAATTAACACCTCAATGATTTCTTTCTTCTTCTTCATCTTTCTCTGGTCATGTGCGTAATCCACTGTGGGCCTTAAACTGGGATGTCATCTCAAGGTCTCTTAGGTTTCCCCAAAACTTAGTTGTCAGTTCTACTGGGTGTGGCCACATGTCGCTCCGCAGCTCCAACAAGAGAGAACAGTCTTGCAGGACATGTTCTGGAATCTGTTTGGCATGAAGACAGTGGCAGAGAGCTGTCTGGCACATACCTAATTTATATGAGTGTTTTTTGAGTTTGCAGTGTCCAGTGCGTAAGTGAAAACTGTGACTTGGTCTGTTCTGTTTAGGTGTGTGAGGAAATCATTTTTTCATAGTTATAAACTTTTTTTTTCTCTCTCAATGAGGGTTTTGACTTCTGGAAAAGAAAGTAACTGGTAGATTTGTGCTTTGACTTCAATGACGAGAATAAAAAGATGTCGCATCCGCTAAAAATGTTAATTCTGTGACATCGGATTCAAAAAAATAAACTACTCTTCGCATTAGTTTTTGTTTCTTTTCGGTTAGCTGTCATGGTGGCTCCACAAACAATGTTTTCACTGTTTTGGTGGGCCGTGGATGTAAAAGGGTTGGAGAACACTGCTTTAGACATTACACTAGCCCTGCTACCTGAAAGTCTAGAGTTGGACATTAAATAAAAGTAAATGGAGATAAGGCTAATCAGGTAATCACAGTTGCAAGTTCATATCAAACGGGTCACGTAATTGTTGCCCTGTGCCTGTACCACACAGAATATATATCACCATCCCTTGTGACAAAACTGACACAGACTGTGGTCTCAGCAAATCTAACAGCATATATTTTGCATAAGGCAGCCATGACTGGCTCCAGCTGTCGGGCCATGCTGCTGATGTCACCTCGTTGGGCTAACGATTTGTTAACGCAGCAAGAAATAAACTATTTTCTACAGTGGCCAGGGAAGACAACTTAAATTTTAACTGTCAAGTATCTACATGCCTTCTTAAATAATTTCACAATTTTTTAGACGACTTTTCTTGACCAGTTGCTGCGTCACCTCTAGCATATGCTTATGGCACCCCAGAGTGCCTCGGCACCCAGTTTGAGAACCGCTGCGTTAACACATCGTTAGCCCGACCCGGTGATGTCAGCAGCACAGCCCGTCAGCTGGAGCCGGTTGTAAGGCAGCAGTCACAAGTTCCAACAAAAACAGTCTGACACCAGAAATGCAGTTCATCGTAGGTGGAAGTAGCAGTTACAAGGGACGTTTAGTTATAAGTTGCACACACAATAAGATGCATTTGGCACCACAAGTTCCCTGGCAAGAGGCCACTCACCATTTTCTGAATCTGCAGTTCAGAACATAAGCTACATTGGGCACATTAGAAAAGTATTCCAAATGAAATCTGCAGCTCATTGTCGCACCTTGAACTGAACTGAATAGCAAGGGGAAGGAACTATATCTCTTCAGTCAACATACAGAGAAAAATGCAACAGCTAGCTGCTGCCAGAAACAAAAACTCCCCCTGACTTAAAAACAGAAAACTTGCCTATCCACCATACTGAGTGAAAGCTATTACGGTAATCCAATGCAAAGGTGAGATACTGAATGTTTTATGACAAGTAAGACGTTTGCAAGAACCAAGTAAGGATGTGACTCCACAACCATGATCAGACTGCAAGTACAGTGTGGCCACAAAAGCGCACTATGCAGGAAACCAAAGAAGAATAAACCAACACAGTTCTGTTTGTTATTTCATTCACATTCTGTGTATTCCAGACAGTTATTGTAACTCCTGGCAAATCAGCATTTTACAATTATATAACAATAACTGTTCCTTGATACACTGAGCAGTGAGATTTGACCTCAGACTAAAACTATGTCTACTATAACATACATTACATAATTCTGGACAAAATGGATGCTAGGCAGGGCCACTGTTTGGAGCAGAGGCAAATTGTTTGCTTCTGCTGGACTGTGGCCGATGCACTTTTGCTCCATTTGTAGACTGGATATAGTTTCGTCACCCAGCTTCTGAGTTGAATGCATGGCATGACACTGTGAGCTGCGGATTTCATTTGAAATGTTTTTTTTTGGCTGTGACCAACGTGGTGGTGTGAATTGTAGATTCAGAAAATGGTGTGATGCCTGTCGTTGCAATGTTGGTGGAGCCTATATGTGATTAAAATTGATCGTGTGAGCAACTGCTGATCTGTTGGTGACTTCTGCTACCATCAATGATGAACTGCATTTCTAATGTCGGACTGATTGTGTTTAGCACTTCAGATGGCTTCCGTATACTTTAATGTGTGTGTATGCTAGATATGCTGAGACAGCAGTCTGTCAATCTATTCACAAGGGACTGTGATAAACATTCTGTGTGTTTTTCGTTGGCACAGGAGAGGAGCAAAGATGGAGTGACCCGTTTGCTATGAAGCTGAAACTAAGACTACCAGACCATACATTACATAATTATGAAGCATATAATACTTAGAACATAGTTACATACCCGGTTATGAGTGTCTGTGTGGCGTATAACATTGCGTATAAGTGACTTTGCCCCTTGATGTAGACCAACTGTCTTCTGTCGTCCTATGGGTAAGCTAGCAGTACTGGCAGTACCTGCACTTGTTGAATCGCTACTCTGACTCATCTTGTCAAGTTTTAAACACAATGTCACAATGAGATGGGCTCCAATAAATAAGAATAAGACCACAAAGTACACACTAGTCTTTACCTATAAATCTCATGTAAGTCATTTGCACATATTAGACGAATAAGCGCAGTCTACTTTTCACCAGTTACACACATAATTACACGACACGTCACGAATCTCGCACAGTATCATCAGAACACATTGATTCTGTTTACTGTATTTGTATTCAATAAAATTAAAAACAACGAAGTCCAAGAACTCCAATCCACACTACTCAAATGGCTTTTTGTAATAGATTTCTGAAGAAATAATACACAAGTAAATCAAATATGCGTTTGCCAATGCTTTGAATTAGAAGCCTGCAGATAGGGCTTTAGATAAAACAACTGTCTGAAAGTGTACAAAAGCACTAGACAAGCAAAGAACAATCGTATGTAGAACGTCAGAGGTTTTATGATCACCGGCAGCCATTACTGTTTACTATTTGCTTGAGATTCGTCTCCCCTGATTAGACATCATCATCATCATCATCATCATAAACCACTTCTGCCGTTAAGCGGCGTGGAAAGGAATAATTTGCGATCCAGTGCATGTTGCTGCGACTGGCTATTGTCATACCGTGAAGGCGTAGAGTGTCTTTAATGTTGGCGATCCATTTTTCCGCGGCTGTTCTCTTGCTCTTGTAGCTGATCTTTTGAGATATAGTGCTTGTGATTGTATTTGATATTGCGGCTTTCTAACAAGATGGCCAAACCACTTAATCTGCTGTTTCTCGATGAATCTACTACAAGGGGTCTTTCCCACAATTTGCCTGATAGTTTCATTGTTCACTAGATCTCGGATGGTCAGGTCCCCTGATTAGTGATATTTACAAAAACTGCTATCGTGGTGCAGACAAAACTATTTATATTACAGTTCTTCGCGCCTGCTCCCTTTTTGAAAATTCTTCTTGTTTCTCCACCTACTTTATTCATGTTCCAGAGCCTGTCTGTTGCGTTCACTTCTGTTTTAAACATTTGGCTTATTGTATGCAGACTGTTGGTTCCTTGCCTCAGACAAGTACTCCGATTTCAAAGGATGCCCCAAAAGTAATTAGTCGATTATAAACCATGCTCCTTACATAGGACCCAATTTTGTGTTTTTGTAAAGCCCCACCTCGACTTAAGTCAGGGGCCCCAATATTACCTAACGGTTGAACGCGTTTTCTGGGGCTTGTACCTTAGTGATTCTCGTCTGAATCGTGGAAGTTTGTGTCACCGGGTGTTTATCTCTTGCTATGCTATCCTCTTACGGTTGAACGTCACTCATTAGTCGACGCCTACGACATGCTTGTTAGGGAGGCAGTGATTCTTTTCTTTCCTTTAAGCGTAGTTTGCCGGCCGAGCCCTCTGGTCATATACAGGTGCAATATTCTCTCCAGCCCATAATAATCTAGTTTCTTTTCTGACTTCGTTACTTGTTCCCAAAGGGCTTTGACCACATCCGCCTTGTCATGTATCAGTTCACCACCCAATGGCGCAGATCCAGCCAATCTGTCTGCCTGTTCATTCCTCACACGCCGGCATGGACTGGTGAAAAGATCCAAAGTATGTTCACAACCTTGCAAGGGAAGCTTGCCAGGCTGCTCGGAGCACCCTGTCTTCACATTTTTCAGCATGCTTCCAGGGTCCGTTACAATTACGACATGCGTATGTATCTTGTTCTCTAGCCACCGGCAAGCTGCAGTGACTGCCTCCACCTCCATTCTCAGGCTAGATGTCATGGAATCATATGCTAGGCTGTCTTGCACTAAAGATGTTCTACTGGCTTTCGCTACGAAACCCTAGGCACTTCTCTTCCCTCTCAATACAGAACCTTCTGTGTAGATAATAAGATCATCAGGACGAGAAATGTCATGAATCAACTGTTGGACTTCCACCTCAGTAGCGCCCGCTGGCATGTCTCTGCACTCCCGGCCTAATGTGATCATGACCCTACACAGGTCAGATTTTTCCTCTGGTACTCTGACCCACTCCTCTCCTCGCCCAATGCTCTTCAGCATGCCTACTAGTCTTGTCCATGATTCTCCCTTTTCTGCCTCTGACACTTAACTGCATCCAAAGCTTCATACAGAGGGTGCTCTTTGTCTGAAGCTACTCTGGGGTATGACTTATGCAGCACGATGCAGCGACAAGGAACTCTGGCCGTTACTCAACGCTGAGAGAAAAGGTCAGACTGACATTTTCTCAGACTACTACTGGCACTATTGGTATTGGAACTGCGTTGGCTGCTTAGGATGGGGACGTAGCGCTTATGGGAATGCCCCGAGTGTTGTGATGCCTATTCTTGAATCAACTCAACTCAACAAAGGCATTTTTTTATAATGCATTAAACTTTCTCTCCATGTTCTTTCACATGCCACCAAGCTAACAAAAAGTTGGTAAATTAAAGAACGCACCAGACTGCACACTATTTTCACGCAGATGAACAAATACTATCACTTTCAGACATGGCTTCATTGAAGCCCAGACAACCAGATCAAGCCTCTGAGATAAGGCCGTTGCCATTTTAAAATTACGAAACAGATAGCTGTAAGAAACTCATTGTTAATGAGATTTCTGTTGTGAGATTTTAATTTGAGTGTCATATCTAAAGTTAAATGTTGGTAAGACAGTAGCTAAAATATGATTGTAAACATAAAAACGTTAGTTTAGTTAGATTTTGTAAATAAGAAATATTAAGGAGTTATGGGGGAAAGACTGTCATTATATTTTCCTCTGCTTCTGCTTCTCTGCTGCTGCTGCTGTCTTCTGCTGTTGCTACTGGCTTCTGCTATTGCTGCTGCTGGCTTCTTCTACTACCACTACTTCTTCTTTTTTATTATTCTTCTTTACATCTGTACGAATGTTCCCTCAAATCTAAAGTTCTAGAACAAGACTAAAGTCTAGAAATGGACGAACAACCAGAACTTTCCGTCGGAGTTTACAGTCGGGAAAGGCAAAGAAGAAGTAGTTTAGCAAAAATACGTCGTGCAAACTTTGCTAACAGTAATGACCCGAGTTAATCCTTCCGATCTCTAATGTGGTCAATCCTGCGCGAGCTATTCAACCGACCCTCGTCATTTGTTCATTTCCCATTTGAAGCCCGTGTAAAAACAAAACCCAAAAGTGGCATGCTCTCCTTGATCAACCCAGTGAAAAAAAAAAGTAAAGGTTTAAGGACCATGTCTCGAGCGACAAGGCATAGAGTGAATATTCTTATCAGCCAGAATCAGCACGCAAGAGTTGACTAGGAGTAGACCATGAGGCAGACCAGGAAGAATGTGGAGAGATAATATACAGGCGGACTTACAATTTCTTTTAGATACGAACTGGAAAGAGAAGGCCAATCTCAGAGAAGAATGGAGGCGTGTGATATCTGCAGCAATGAATCTCAAGGGCTCGAAATGCTGAAGACCGGGGAGGGGTGGTGGTGGGGGGGGGGGGGAGAAGGGGAGGACCTACACAATAATGTATTTGCTACCTACCACGGAGCATCTATGGCTATGGCTAGTGTTATGATGTACAGTCTTAAACTAATCAGTAACTAACCAGTCGCCACTCATGATGTAGTAGTAGTACATTTTACCCCACTAGGACATCACATAAGCGATAAACACCAGATGACACAAAGTGCCACTATGCGGTTGAGGGTCAACCGTGGAGAGGTCCCGGAAACCGCGTTCAGCCATTAGACCATATTTTTGGCCGGGCTATATTGCGGCCCCTGGCAAGAGCCAGAGTGGGGCTTCAAAATAACGAAAAATTGCATCCCACAAGGGGGTGACGGGTAAACATTTTTTTAAATCTCATATGATGTTGCCAATTTTACACTGAACATGACCATTTCCGGTACTCATTTTTAACTGATTCATTTTTCTCATTTCATCATAATTACGTCGATGAAGTAATTTTGCGTATGCTTGTCTGTACATGTGGTTTTGTTGATTTATGTAGTGTGCTGACGAAGACTGTAGCAGCAACGATCACTTTCCGGTTGTGTTTTGTTACATCGTGAAGCTCACTGGTATACTTTTCGTTTGGTTTTTTTTATCTTTTCATGATATTCATTTTAAACTGGGTCAACGCCCGGCTGTCTAGCGTGGTTGGCTAAACCGGATTGCGCGGAGACCGGGTGACGAACTCCTTGTGGTCCGGGTTCAATCCCGGGGGGTAGGCAGGAAAGCCACATTTCTCCCAGATTTACGGTATTTACAATGGAATCAAGGCCGAAAGGTTGCGATATCCATAATACCGAGCCTAAGGGTTAACAACTCAAGGCTGCTGGATACTAAAACAAGCAAACAAACAAACAAAACAAACAAACAAACAAACTGGGTCAACCTCTCAGCTCAGTTCAATTGTAAATATTCGCCCAAATAAGGAATTTAATTTATAATCATCAGATTGGCAGGCAAGCGAGCCGTCATTATCTGAGATAGCTAGGTATCAAATCTTTCTACCCAAGAGACAAGGATATCATTAGAAACGCTCAGTCCCATTCTGGAATTGGTTATTTCATATTGTCGCAGCAGGTGGACAGGTTGGCTGGACCGGCACCAGTTGGGGGTGTACTGCAACTGCACAAGGCCGAGGTGATCTCTTGCCCGAGCAGCGAGGCAACAAGAAACATGGAAAATTCTGAAGCCCCATACCTGGAAAAATGATGCAGCGCGTAGTGTCTGCGTGCTCATCGTGCCACTCAAGGCTACGGAAAGGGGAGAGTGGGGGGGGGGGAGGAGCAAGGCCAGACGAGCAGTCAACAAGATGACATACGCTACCATCAGTGTGGAGACTTTTCGCTGGCTGCTGAAGAAGGAGACCGAGCTTGTCCGGAATGCTGTGATGTCGACAGTGTTGCCACTTTTCTTAGACAAAAAAAAAAAAAAAACATCCAAAATACAGTCAAAAAATATCTAACAACATCTAAATTTGTGTGGAAAACATCTAGAAAAAATATCCAAATGGAAAGAGTCACAAATTACATAGCAATTGATATAGAATCGTGTCCTCATCTTTACTGTAAGTCTGCCTTACAAGATCCACAGGAGAAAGTTAGATTGGATGATGAAGTAGAAGCTTCGGATCAAAAATGACTCTGGTATGCTTTAGCTGTTCCAGTTTCTTTTAATATACAATCAGGGAGCTGATAGGTGGAACAGACTTTTCCTACTCTTATCAAGCCAAATGTTGTTGTCTCATTTAAGATCATTTCAGCCTTAGGTTAATGATAAATTCACTCTAAATAAGAAACATGAAAAACATCTACAATCTGTCATAAAACGCCATCTAAATGATTTCTCTTGGCCTGCCTCTGCCTCTTCTACCAGTGATCTTTCAAGTCTTCACGACATTTTCCAGTGCTCCTTTTTCTCATCACATGACCACAGAACTTTGTTTGTCTCCTTTTCGGTGTTGCAAATAATATTTTACTTTCATTAGTCATTTCCAGGCATTCATTGTTAGTTAATCTGGCAGTCCAAGGTTTTCGCAACATTCTTCTCAAGAACTACATCTCAGTTCTAACTTGTGATATGTTAGATAAAATTTAAACTATCAAGCAAAGGGAAAATCGAAAAGGCAAATATCTGGATGACTGAGCTACATTTTTTTTTAAAATTGGGACAAGCATGCGGGCACCAGTTGCTGGGTAAAGAAATACGACTGTTGGTTTCAACAGTGGCACCGAGAGCCGACCGTTCGGTGGCAGTGGCAAACTATTGGACGTAAACTTGCCTAGATAAACAACAGCTAAAAAATGCGGGGGTTGTTTCTGCAACGTCTTTTAAGCGATACGAAATTAACTTTTTTTTCTAAAACTATTGTCACAATATTTTATGTCACATTTTTATTTATTTCATGGCACTCTTAGTTGCCGCGGATCGGAAGGTCGTGGGTTCGCTTCCTGGCGGAGACGGACTTTTCTTCAAAAATGACCTTGGCTCCCAGGTCGACCCAGCCTTGAGTGGGTACCGGGTGCAATCCCGGGAAGTAGAGGCGGCCGGCGTGATGCTGACCACATCACCCATCTTGTGCCGTTGGTCTATAAAAATATAGGTCTAGCCCTATATGCCCTATACGCCTAAAGGCGTGGAAAGGGTCCTTTACTTATTTTTACTTTTACTTACTCTTAGTTGAAAGATTTCTTGAACAGATAACTTCCAAAAAAAAAAAAAAAACATGATTTTTGTGACAAGGAAAGAAAAGATTAAACAGTGTGTTGCTAAGGATTTTTTTTTTTTTTTTAATTGCATTTATTGTAATAAAGTATAATATGTGATATTTTCATTTTTCAATTATAGTGAAGAAAAGAAACACACTACCAGAAACAGGTGTTGCCCTAAACTCAACACATCTGGAGCGTCCAACGCAACGTGGTTGTGTCAAGAAAAGAAAAGGATGCACACTCCCTACAGTCAAAGATAGCTAGAAAGCCCTATGTTTTTCGATCCCTTCAACTTTCTTCCATGTACCTTAACATTTTTTATGTTATACATAATTTATCTGTGTTTATTTTTATCTGCGATAGCTGTTTTTGAACTATATAACCTACAGTTAGACGAAGACACGGACGACAACTGACTTTTACCCCTCCATCCGATACAAATTAAGTTGGCTCAGAAATAATAGTGACATTGTGTGTTGGTTGTATCATTATGAGAAAGGCAAATTTTCATAATATGGTAACAGAAACTCTCAGCTTCCATTTACATAAATTAGGTCAGATAAGTGGAGTTGTTCCTTCTAATAAAAACACCTTGGATTAACAAAGATAGCTTAGAAACAACAGTATCCGTGTTTTCGGTTATACCATTTGTAGAACTGCATATTTTCGTTATTCAGTGTTGGTAACTCGGCACACATTTAAATGCATTAGTTTACACAACTGACTTGGAAACAGCAGTTTCTTTCTGTTTTTGGTTATACCATTAATGAGAACTGCAAATATTCATTACTCTGTGACAGAAACTCGGCTCACGTTTACAAAGATGGTTCACTCAACCACGAGAGACACATAAATCATTTGTCAGTCTGCAGACCGGAACTAACTCTTTTCTCCACTTTTAAGCCCACAGCCTAAAGTGTTGACGTCCAGTGACTCAAAAGAGCCATTTGCCGATGCCATTTCACTTTACTGTTACACCAAGTTGTACCCTGATGTGATGGCCTTTGCGGGTTGTGGTTTTATCTTTTGCTGTTGTCATATTTGTGCGAGCTAACTTTGTCCAGGTTTAGCCACTAACAATGTCCATGTTTAGCCACTAACATTGTCCATGTTTAGCCACTAACATTGTCCTTGTTTAGACCATATAATTAGGGACACTGGCAACGCCCTCGGTTGTTTACAACTGGGGTCCGATCACTCAAACGAAATTTTAAAACAGTGCTAACCTTTCGGGTCCCTTACACGCACAGGACTGCAGGGTTGCACCTAGGTAAATATCCAATACTGGTGCCCAAACTATAACTTTTGGGGGATCTAACTGGGTATTTGGGATCTATATTGTTGGTCTGCCTTCTAGATTGGATTTCGTTACTCTCATGATTGGCATGGTAACCCTTTAGGCTGCAGCCCTGAAGGGACACGCTGATCGATCGAACAGTGTTAAAATACCATCAGAGACAATACTTGCTTCTGAAAACAAAATCTTTCTAATGTACAGGACTACATTTAATTTTCATTGACCTTGAAAATCTACAGATTGTCTCAGATAATTATGTAAGAGTATACCTGATACATGTTTGTACACAAGACTGTTTCCAATAGCAACAAAATGTCAACAGAAAACAAGAGGAGAAAACGAAAGCGTTTGACCACGCTTCGCACATCTTCATACATTCATCATGAATACGCGAATACAAGCGCTACACATCCTTCTCCAGTTTTAACATCCCATTTGCCGAGGATATGGCAGTTTGTCGCCAGACATGTCTTTAAAACTACAATTATTGCAACAAGTATTGCTTTCTCAGTACTGCATAAAGATGTCACTTCATTTCTACTCTCGGTGACAGCATTTGCAATACATCGCCTGTTGTATTCATCTGTACCGCCATGATAAGCTATTAAATATTACAGATGCATTGCAACCATCTTCGTATGTCTTTTCCATTTAAAATTGTTGAATTCTTCATTTTGTTTGCGCTTTTCAATTTTTCACGTTATGTGTCTCTTCATGCTTCATGTTCTTCTTCTTCTTCTTCTTCTTCTTCTTCTTCTTCTTCTTCCTTCTGTCTGTCTTTTCTGTATCTTCTTCTTGCTTCATTTCTCGTCTCAAAGATACAAGGTTGTAGCCAACTGTCGTGTCTTCTGTATTTGTCTTGCGTTTCTCGAATAGTGATTTTGTTTACAAGTTTTTCTTTTTTATAAGTTTCAGATACACTATTTAATTGTCTCTTTCTTTGTCTTCCCCTTCACGTTGTTGGTGTTTTTTTTTTTTTTTATCTTTACGTTTTTTTCGTATGCGTTTCTCCATGTGTTGTCCGAACGTGTGCCTGTCTTATGTCTGTCTGGTGACAAAATATGCTATTCTGACTCTGGATTTGATAATATGTGCACCCATGAATCTACCCATAGGGCTCTTTTTGTGTTTATGTGTGTGTGCATGTACGCGTGTGGGTGTGCTTGTGTGTGCACGTACATGTGGGTGTGTGTGTGTAGTTTTTTCACCCGTTAGTATCTTCACGTTGTTGGTGTCTTTAGTTGTTTGTTCCTGTAATTTCTGTTTGTGTGCATTTCTGTAAGTTTGACTGTCTGCTGATGAAATGTGTCACCCTGACTCATGGTCTGTTTACTCACGCATGCATGCACACATAATACATACATACATGCCCACACACACACACACACACACACTCTCTCTCTCTCTCTCTCTCTCTCTCTCTCACCCACAGTCAGACAGACAAACAGACAGACAGACAGACAGACATGATTTCAACATGATGTTATGACTAGGAGTAGCTAGCCAAATGGCTAGAAAAATGGAATTTTGTGCTGGAGTCACAGATTAACATAACATAACATCTTCTGGGATAAAAAGTAAAATGACCAACCTGCACAGTTAAATGCGACGTCGTTAGTCATGAAATAAAAAATGGCTATACCATAAAGATCGGTCAGTAATTAGGGGCAAGCGAAGTGCATGGACCTTCACGTTAAGCTCAAGGGGGAAAACGATCAAGGAAATGAATGGCGTCTTTGCAGTTACAACTAGTAGCCTTACAGTGGAAACTATCGGAAACAAGGGCTTTAGCATGGCTTGGTACTCAAAAGTTCACACGCGTATGCATTCTTAGTGTCGCGATGAATATGTTTACAAAAATCCAAGCTGGATTTATCAGGCAAGAATGGATTGCAAACACTAAGCACTCCACAAATATCTGCAATAACCTTTATCTTTGTGCCAAGTCATGCGGGTGTTCAAAGAAACGAGCGTGAAGACTATCTTGCTGACATTCCGGTTGCTATGGCTGGCCCAGACTAGACAGAATGCCATTCGCTGCACTTACCGTACCGAGGAGCACACCAAAAGACATGACTTCGCATCCCTGTCTAGACTGATAGACATGGCGGTGCAGCCTGGAGCTGCAAGAAATGAACACTAAGGGGACGACGTTTCATTAACCACGGCCTTCTCTGTTTATCTAGAGAAGGCGGTGCATTAACCAACCATAATAAATAGAGAAGGCCGTGAACCAACACAGAATATGTGTCATCAGTCGTTTTACACTTGTGGAGCTTTTGAGGAGGAAACCGGAACTACCTATGGATCTGTCCTGAGTGCTGTGATGATAATCCTTTCTAATCACTAATCACTATGGCCATACCATCTTTGAAGAGTTTTACCCTAACAATTAAAAGTCTACCTGCATAATCACAAGAAGATGCATACAACAAGGTTACTTTTGACAATTTGTACCCAAGCTCCGAAATATCAACATCTCCCCCCCCCCCCAACCACACACACACACACACACTTATTAAATGGATAGCAGCAGCACTCTTCAAGAGACAGGTTGTTTTCAAATTTGGAAGATGGATCACTGAGTTGAAAACCACACACCCAGGATTGCCCTATGGATCACCTTTATCTCCAGTCCTGTTTCAATAATGTTCACTATCAAATCACAGGTGAAGGAAGAACACTCTCATACGCTGATGACATACTGGTGTGCCGCCAAGGCAACGACAGGGGCAGAATTGTAGAAAAACCCAGAAGGAACTGGGACGCATAAAGATTGGTGTAAAACCTCGAGGAGCACAGATTAACCTTGCATAGGCGATGCAGCTGGGTTCTCTTTGAAAAACCACAGTAGGCACATAACGCCTTCTGTGCGTATGAAGGGGAAGAGATAGCACAGACTAAACTTTTAAAATACCTGGGAGTAAGTTTTGATCAGAGCCGAAGCTGCAGATTCCAAGTTGAAACTATCATCAACATGGCCAGGAAGGGTTTGGCTGCAAGGAGAGTTATGGCTGCCCTGTGTGGTAAAGCAAATGCTGTCAGTCATCCTCTGTCAGGGTTTGATCTTCTCTATCATAGAATCATCATCATCATCAAGTGCCTTGTCGACAGGCATGGGTGATCTTGACTCTCCACAGGCGAGACATCATCAATGCTGTACGAGAGACTAAACGTTGTGAGACTTTCAGTTTCGTGGAACATGATTTTTCACTAAATAGACTGCATAACCTGGGTGTACCAATACAAGCTGCGAGTCAGGAAAACCACGTGAGAGCCACCCGTCGATACATCAACCTAAATAGAACTGGGAGTTGTGAACCAAAAAACACACAGAGACATACTCAGGAGGTGATCGGGGCACTTATGGTCATGTCCGATGTGCGATGAAGATGATCTCATAGTCTTCTTCTTTGCGACCTCTTTTATCGCTTCGGGTGTCGAGGGAGATATAAGATCCTGCTTCGTGCTCTTCTTCAAAACTATAGACACTTCGGGGTGCTGTAGAGTTTCTCTGATGTTATCTCCTTATCTTGTTCTTGGTCTGCCTCTGATCTAAGCCCCTCTCCTATTTTAATATATGCCTTGTAAGGAATAGCATCATAAGGCATTCTCTCCAAGTGGGCAAACCATTTGATTCGATGTCTTTGTATGCAATTCTGGGCCGACTTGATCTCGTATGACCTCATTCCTAGTTTTATCTCTTTAAGTCACTCTCTACAGTCTTTCTCAGACACACCATTTCATTTGAGCTGAACAAACTTGTCGAATAATGTCCTCAGCCTAACCAACCCAGGATTTTCCTGGCTTCAACCTGCTAATCTCGGCGTGTAACAGCAATGATGCTCTGTCAAATCACTGTTCTCATTTCCATGGTTGGAAGATCAAGGACGATCGTCTATGTGTTTTCAGTTTGCGCCATCCAAGACCTTTCTCTTTTCAGCCTGTCGATCTAGGGCTTCATGCAGGAGTTGTTTCTTGCTTGCAGCTGCTACGAGATATCTGAGACAAATAGCCTTACACTTGCCTAAGAACCACCTGACATACCTGCAATTTAAAGTGACTCACAGAGCATGTTGATGAAGGTATGCTCCGTGCAGAGCTGCAAGCATTGCTTCAGATGTCCCAGGTAGGTAGTCAAGCGCACTTTAGATTTTTTTTTTCTGCAGGGTTAAAGGTGTGTTGGACAGCTAACAGCCCCACTGGTACCTTCTCTGGTACCATCGCTGGTGAAGATAGGGACAGAGGGTTTATGGGAATATCCCGGGTGATAAGATGTGAGTTCTCAAAATGCAGATGTACTTATCTTAACCCTTCTCTCCTTTGCGAGATATATTTTTTCTTCTTCTCCAAATTGATGATGTCAACAGAATCCAAACCAGGTTTTCGCCATCGTTGTAAATAAAAATGGCCGTTTTCCGGCTGGACCCCTGTGGGATCATCTGTATTCTGATCACGTACCTTGCCGTGTTTTATGCCGACTATGTCGTCGTCAGACACATTGTGCTGCCTTCTATGACCGATTCGTAAGTCGTGCATTATTGGACTTGTAAGATTCAGTTGTTTTTGTTTTTAAAAGTAAACTATACTATAGTCTGTGACAGACCCCAGCTGTCTGCTGTCTCCATTGTAGCAGTTTGAGTAACGTAACTGTAACTCAATAACTACAACAAAAACTATTTAAACTTTGGTACTTTGGTTTCGAACTGTTTTGTTGTTGTTGTTTTTTAATTATATTTTAAAAAAAAATACCTTATGAATTTTTTACCACCACCAAAGAGAAATATAAGTATGGTGGAGTCTAGTCAGTCTAGAGCTAACAAAATTAGGCTGTTATTAAAATAACGGCCACATATTATGGCGGCCAAAAACACACTCTGACAGGGCCTCAGTCACATGTAAATTGCAGACTTCCGGCGACTACACCGCCACCGCTGAAAGTATCTCGCGCGCCGCTACGCGCGCGGCGTGCAGGGGGGCTAAACTAGATGGCTGTGACTCACGAAAAGCAGCTTCCGCATCTCCTGCAGCTTTGCTCCTGAGTCCCAGCCATCTAGTTTAGCCCCTCTCCGCGACGCGGGAGATACTCTTACCGGTGGAAGTCGCCGGAAGTCTGCAATTTACATGTGACTGAGGCCCTGTCAGGGTATGTTTTTGGCCGCCATAATATGTTGCGGTTATTTGGATGATAGTCCAAAATTAACTCTTCGATTTATGACCCTCATCTTACTTCATACTGACAAAGTCGAGAACTAATCAGTGAAAATTCAGGCCATGTCACCATCATTGTATACTTAGATCTGTAGTCAGAGGTAAAAAGATGTGATTGGGTTTTATTACACAGAAAAAAATGAAGGTTGTTTATAACATCACAACATCTAGCATTAGAATGGAGGTGGAGGCAGTAAAAGCAGCTTTCCAGTGGCTTGAGAATAGTACAGCCCAGTGTGCTGTAATTATAACTGACTTGCAGAGCATGCTTCGTAAAGTAGACACTGGTGACTTGCGCTCAGAAAGGCTTGAGTAGCTTGATTAAATTCAAATAACAGGGAAAGATATAAAACCGAACAAAAGGTATATCAGCGAGCGTCACAATTTAACAAACATAAACAAAACGTGAACGTTTCGGCTATGGAGCCTTCTTCAGCACATACTTAGATTAGATAATACTACACAAATACACAATATCACTTATCTTCATATCTCGTGGCAGCCAGGTCGATGTCAAGACAATAGTCTGGTGAGGCACGTGGGGCCAGGAAAATAAATATCTGGGGATATGCCAGGGCCGTCACTCAAGGAAAAGATGAAAACTGTGTAGGCAATTCAGCCCCCTATGATTTAGATTAAGCTGTGTTGGCAGTTAAGTCCACTGGGTGCCAGAGTTCCTAAAGTGTTAAAAAAAAAGTGATTTTTAAGAGACTTGCGAACTCTATTGCTGAAGTGGCTAGATTTAATGGCTGTCACCTCCATGTTGTGGACACCTTGGTGGTCCAAATAAGAAGCATATCGTGGGCTTTTGTTTTGCTCAGGATATTCAGGTGTAAGTGGTAAAAAGCAGGTTGATAGATTAGCTTCTTCTGTCCCTCTGGACAGTGAGCTACTTTACAATAAAGCGGATGTGGTGAAGCTCTCAGGGATCAAGTGAACAATGCAGCAGAAACAGACAGAACATCCACATCTGGTGAGAATGATTCAGCTGGGAGTGAACAGAAGGTCTGGATGACTTTCTACGTGCAGGAGAAACAAACAGACAAGCTTTTAATCAGAATGCAACTGGTACATCAGTTTGGGAACTTGTTGGCTACTGAGGACGGGGGAGTGGACCACATATGGTAATGTCCCCAGTACATTGTTGTAAATTATTGATTCATCTATTGATTCATCTAACTGCATGTTTAAGACTGTTTTTTAACCTTTATTCACAGATTATGGGGATCCTTATGTGCTGTAGTCTTCAACACCATCATTTTCTTGCTAATTGTATCACATCTGAAAGCTGTCCTTTCAGACCCTGGGATTGTACCTATCCCGAAAACAAGTATGGATTTTTCTGACATACATTCAGACTCATCAAAACTTAAAACGGTTAGCAGTTTATGAAGACATTTTATTAGCACTTTCATTTTCTTAAAATCATTTAGTGCCAAGAACTTCATGATATACTGAATTATGTTTGCAGTGGGGACAGAAGTTGTGTTTCCTAGTATGTGTATGTGTGCGGCAAGAAATAGAAGAAGAGACACAGTCACTGATAAAGAACTAAGAAATTGGTAGACACAGACCTGTAAATGATTTCATAGAACATCACAGAATCTATGGTTTGGTCATCTGGTCAGAACAGAACAGAATCAGCTAGCAACATGAGAACAGCAGATGTGTGTGTGTGAAAGCCTGTATCTGTGTGTGAGAGAAAGAGTGAGAAGGACAGAAAGAATGGATAAAGAAAGTGAGAGAGATGTTACATGAAAAAATTATGTGAAAATTTGTTTTAAAATGTGACATTGATCTTCATTTTTTATGATAACAAAACCATATAAAAACCTAATGCTTTTCTTATGCTGCTTTTTAGCTTTCTATAGAGGACTTTAGTTAGATAACTCCAGGTTATTTACGAAATGTCATGATAGATCTTGTCTAAATGCATTTAACCTTGTTTCTGTCCCTGCTGAGATAGAGGGAACAATGGCGGTGTAGTTAGGAAATCCCCCCCCCCCCCCCCCCCCCCAAAAAAAAAAACATCCTTTAAAAAAAATGACTTTTTATTTTACACGAGTGACTAAAACATTCTTCACAATTCCATTTATCAACCATAACAAAATTAAATTCAATGGGGAATCATGAATAAATATGAATGCTGCAGAGAATTGACAGGGTCACATCTGTGGCTCTAACAATAAATGAATACGGTGACTCATTTAGACATTGTGCACCCGGTCACATGTTAACACTAGGTTAGGTTAGTTGCATATCCTTTACAGGACGTTGCAGAACCAACCCCAACAGCCCCTGGCTGTTGTGTGGTTTTTCTAGGCAAATTTACGTCCAGTAGTTTGCCATTGCTTTCTGGAAGGTCGGCTTCTTTGATACCACTGTCAAAACCAACGCGAGGCGCATGGCCCTCAGCTGGGATCGATACCGGCATTACGAAGCGTTCACATAGACTTAGCCACAGAGCCAACATTAACACTAGGACCAGTGTGAAAATTACAATGTCATAATTGCTGTTATAATTTCTGTTAATAAAACCACATTTTTGCAAGAAAACCCCACACCTCTAAATGCCATTTTAGCAAATGTAGTCATTCCTGGTCCTTCTAAATGCGCGTACAGGTGGAAGTAGTAACACTGTTGTTTGCCAAGTCTCTCGTGAGTCTCTTTAGCCAAGATGGAAAAGTGACTCTCTCGAGCCATTGGACGCAACTTAAAGTGTCGATTTAGCAACTTCTCGGGGCAGCAGAGTTAATGTAAAATCCAATGATCATGTAGATGGATTTAAAATGTCCTGTTAGAAAAACATATATTACTTTGAAATGTCACATTATATAATTAAGATATTACTATAAGAATGTCAAGGCTGATACTTCTTCTTCATCAGCATTCTGAGTCCTTGAGGTTTATTGCTGCAGATATCGCCCACCTCCATTCATCTCTCTGGTTGGCTTTCTATTTTCAGTTGGTGACACCAGGTGTTTGCAGGTCTATCTTGACATTATCTCTCCATTGTCTTCTTGGTCTGCCTCGTAGTCTACGACCATTCAACTCCATTGTGTGCCAAGGCTGTGTTATATACATTAAATTGTAACATTGAAAAAATATTTTTTGCCTTAGAACGATTATGGGCTTTAAATTTTTTTCATATATTTTCTAACCAGAACGATGGATGGACTGTGTGCATGAAATGTGAAACATACCGCCCACCCAGGGCTCACCATTGTCGAGTCTGTCGCAGATGTGTTCGGCGCATGGACCATCATTGTCCGTGGTGGGTGTTGTTTGTGAAATGTTCTTGCATCATTTTCTCAACAGACGTTTTCACTGCAGTTGCAGAGAGTGTCTTTTTATTAGTTGCTCATAAAAAAAAAAAAAATTATGTAGCGTGTAGTTCTAAGCAAAAGAAAAGGAAATTACTGCCACAGCTGCCCATTTTGGGTTCCATTCCCCATTGTAAAAAAAAAAGGGGGCAACACTACCGCTGCCCTTTTACAGGCCTGTCATATGTTGAATGTTGCTACAGATGGGGGCGGAGCGCTTGTGGGTGTGTCCCAGGGGTGGTGATGTCGGTTCTTAATTCAACATTTTAAAGAGGAATAAATTTACATTTTCAATTTGAATGATGTGCCAATGTTTAATGCTGTTATAGTTGGCTTTAAAAAAATAAAGCAGAATTCTGCAGGTGTTATGTTTGCAGTCTCAAGAGCAGTGAATAATCACATTTGAGAATTACTCTTTAAAGTTTATTCAGTTTCCTAACAAATTTAATAGTTGTAAAAAAAGTTTCCAGATTAGTTTATCATTCAAAGGCTCCAGGGCCTTATAGGGTGCTGGAAAAATGTGAAAGGAAAATGGCAGAAAATTAGACCTATACGCCAAAAAATATGAGCTTTACACCGTTATATACAGACTGTAGCTGTAAAGATTTCAATGTGGCTTAACCATGGTATGGTACTGTTTGAAACAGTCCTTTGGATGAAGATATGGGTGACTATAACATCTTTCACATATAAAATGGGTCCTCTATGTCAGACTCATCAATAAGGCTGGCAATAAATTCAACATTTGTGCGCTTAATGTATACACAAAGACTTGTAAACAAACAAAAATGTTTTGAGTTACATTGACTGATATTCTGTTTATAGTTTCAAACATTAAAAACTATTATGGAACAGTATATGAAGCAGTATGTGTGGGACACATGATTGACAGAGGCTGTGTTATTTTGGCAGATTAGAACCTCTCAGTCAACACACACTATTGTGTGTGTGTGGCTGAAAGAGTTCAGAATTGTTACCAAATGTATATGTTTCCTGTGACTGCAAGAGGCATGCTTTCGGTAGCATAGCTACCAGTATTTCCCTCAGAGTGAGTCCAGTTAAGAATAAGCCTTAACAACACTTGACACCCCAGTAAAAGCTGATGTTACAGGGGCTGTCTTAACTTGAAGGAAATAAGCAACAGTCTCCAGTGTTCCCAGTGTGGATTCCAGGGCCCCATCAGGGGGATGGGGAAAGGGGGATGGTCATTGACTTGTTGCCCCCAACAAGCACGTTTAAATTAGGGTTTTACTGAAATTTGATATGTTGGGTTCAAAGGTGCAGAGTTGCAAATATCGTAACCCCTATTTGTAAACCACAACACAACATGCTAAGCAACTTTTAAGGGCAAACCCATTCTGTTGTAATTAAAAAAATATTTTTTTGACAAAACCATGTTATTGGTAGAGGTTCTCAAACTGTGCATCAGGGTTTCATACATTTGTTGTTTCCTTCTTAGGATCAACAACTGTGTTGGAGAGTATAACCAGAGGTTTTTCATCCAGTTCCTCTTCTATGTTGGTAAGTGTAAGTTTGGAATTGGGTTATCTTCCTGGCACCCCATACATGTCCATAGTTGCTCATTTTTCCCCCTTTCGGTACATAAATCAGTGTCCCACAATAATAATAACAGTCCTCTGTTGGTTTACAAGACTTCTGCATCTGATGTGCCTGCAATGCTTGGCTGGGCTAATCTTTACTCCCAGTTCTCGTATTCTTAGCAGTGATGTGGACACGTTGCTCCCAAAAACCTCAGATCCTCCTGTAGAGGCAGACCAAGAGAGATGATGCTGGATGGGCTGAAACAAGGGCATGGAGGGATATCATCAACAGAGCTGCTCCGGGCAACCAGGGATCATGATCAGTGGACCGCAAGAGCGCCTGCGCCAGTTGACAGGGCACATAATGATGATGATGACACACTTCACATGAAGCCCGCTACATTAATGACCCTCAGGGTTCTCAGATAACATCTGCCGTTGTATTTAATATAACTACTGAATGTAAAAATTGCCTGATGAAATCACAAACAGCCAAAAAGTGCTGGGGTTGGTTTTGCAACATCCTGTAAAGGATTTATGCTTAAAAACATATGTAGAACATATTTTGATGCGTTATATTTCTTACGGTAGCAGTTTATCTAATGTCTTTATGACATATTTTAGTGGATTTTGTTGCTTACAGACGGTCATCCTTTCAATAATTCTCTGTACCAGGTCTGGCTAGTGTGTTTGCAATAACTCTCGTTGTCATAGCCTTGTTGACACAGCCGCAGATTAGAAAGGAATACAGACAAAACAGACTGTGAGTATTGTGTCTGTATGTTTGGGATTATTTAGTTTCAGTTTTAGCAGATTGTGTCTGTAGAACTCTTCTGTAGGGAAGAAATGAATAGCTGTATCTATACCATAGGTCTTGTGAGTCATGTGACACAAATATTACTGAGAATAATTTTGAGAAAAATAAGAAACCTTATTAAACAAGAAATTAATGAAGAACAGTGTGGATCTATAGAAGGAAAAGATACAAACAATGCCATAGACATCCTCAGGACACTTTCAGAAAGAGCTGTAGAAGTAAAAAAAAAAACAATCTTCACTTAACCTTCATTCACTGTATGAAAGTATTTAATTGTGAGAAACATGAAGAAATAATCAAACTATTTGAAAAGTATAACATTGACAGAAGAGATTTATGATTATAAAGAATATGTTTTGGCAGCAAACAGCAGCTATAAGAATTATTAACCATTTAGGAAGGTTTCAGAGCATAAAGAGGGCACTACGACAAGGATGTCTACTGTCCATCTGATTTGTTTTTAATTATACAGTGAATATAAAATAGTATCTGTCATGGATATACCAGGAATTGTGGTTGGTGGTCAAAACATAAACAACAAGTCAGAAAGAACTACAGGAATTGATAGATATGGTAGTGATAGAAAGTGGTCAAATGGGCCTCAGTTTGATTAATAGAAAGACAGAAGTAATGGTGATTTTCAAAAAAAAAAAATAGTGCCTTAAGGTATAATAAAAGTCAAAGGTGTTTTTCAGGACAAGAACAGAAATGTAAGTATCTAGGCACATGGATAACATCTGATGGAATATGTATTGAAGAGATACTGAACAAAATAAAAATAGCACAGGCCAAAACTGTGTTTTATAAAATGAAGAACATTTTGTGTAATAAACCCATGTCATTGGAGGTTTGGAAACCAATTTTGGCATGCTATATATAGAGCCAGTTTTAACATACAGCTGTGAATCCTGGACAATTAATAAACAAGCCGGACAATATCTTGAGGCCTCGGAGATGTGTTTTTACGGAAGAATCCTTAGAATTCGTTAGACGGCTAAGAAGAGCAACCAAGATGTTTGGAAAGAGGCGAGTGCTCGAAGACAACTTAACACAAACATCATCATTTTTTGATCATGTTATGAGAAGAGGGGGACTGGAACATGTCGTGACCACTGGAAATATTTGTGGAAAGAGAGACAGAGAGGAAAAAGGCGCGAGAATATTCTTGACAGCCTTTTTGTCGCAGGATGGATGGGTGTCAGTAAATAAACTGATACATGCAGTTGTGGATCGCAGATTGTGGAGAGGCATGATCGTCCGTGCCAGTCGAAAAGGCACTTGATGGTGATGAAGATGATGTATCTGTAAATCTCTTTTGTACTGAGGTTGAATGGTTCTGTCTTTAAAACTCTTTTCCAGTCTACAGTATCCGATTTGCAAAGTTTATTTTAATCTTTTCAGAAAGAATATTTGTTTTCTGTTTGACTTGTCTGTAAGCTTGTTAACGTAAGCCAGTCTTAAGGTGTTGGGTTCAAATCCGCACCAGATGAATTTGATTTAAAAAAACAAAAACAACTTTACTCTGGCTTCCAAGTAGACCCAGCCTAAAAATCGTACCAGATAGTTTCCCAGGAAGTCAACTTGGTTGTCGTGGCGCTGTACACATCATCCCTCAAAGGTTTGGGTTCGCTCCATCCCAGAAGGTCTTGACTACATCTGGCTTGTCATGCATCAGGTTACCACAGAGTGGTGTAGAACCAGCCAGTCTGGCTGTTCATTTCCTAACACACCTGCATATCCTTTAGAGAAAACAAAATTTTTCAAGAAAGAGAGAGAGAGAGAGAGAGAGAGAGATTAAAATGATTACAAAATAGCCTGTTTTAGTACTTCTTCAGCATTCTGTATTTCCACTCTGCATGTTTTTCTTTTGTCACTTACTCATTCTCACTCATTCACTCATACATAGATAGAGATGCATTTATGTGCATGCACATGTGTGCCGCATACATACGGACCTGCGAACACACCCTGACCCTCCCCTTCCCCCTTTTTTTTTCCTTATCTGTCAGTTGGTAGCGACACTAACCTCACCATATTGTATTTCAGGCTGCACTGTGTCTTACTAGTAATTGAAAGCATCTTGTTTGGTCTTTTTGTCATCGCCATCGGCTGTGACCAGGTACTTACCATGGGTTCTACTTCCTGGGTTGTTTGTATTGTTTTTGCTTATTCTGCCTTTGTCGAATATGCATAAGTTTGGTTAAGACTGCTGCATTCATATATCTGTAATTCATGATTTGGTTAGCAGGTGTAGGTAAAAAAAAATAAGACGGTAAAAAGACAAGCTGAGAAATGTATACAGTTGAGGTTGATTCAGAACATATAACTGACAAGGACAGTGCTGTCCTTAAGATATACCACATCCCTAACAGGCAAATGCTGAGACTGGCTGAAGCTTTAACAATGAGAATGAACAATCCTCTAAAGCGTAAACAGAAAGGATTCATTATAAATTTGAAGTCACTCTGGTAACTTAATATGACTGTCATGAACTGCCACTAGTAGATGAATGGAATGTATTGAGAGAGACCATTTGTATTTCGGTGGGATTTATTAATTTGTGTGTGTGTCTTGTTGCTTCATTATGTGTTGCAGTAACGTACCTGATGAGATGCAGCAAGATTTACCTGGTCGTTCATTGTGTAATGTATTGTTTGTGTCCACATTATTCAAAATATAAAGTTAAAGCTAAGAGGATCAGTATCACGGCTGCAGGTTTGACCTGAGCTAGCCACCTGCCAAGAGTGTTGCACTGAGCACAACCTCTGTAGCTCCAGGGACAAACCTAAGCGATGTCCTTAAAAACTGCACTTATGAACTGAACGAGATATCCATGCAGCGATTCCACGACCTTAAGATTTTGAGGTCTATATGGTTTGACCACTTCACCACTAGAAATGTGTGATGACAGCAGAAATGTGTGATGACAGCAGAAATGTGTGATGACAGCAGAAATGGGTGATGACAGCAGAAATGTGTGATGACAGCAGAAATGTGTGATGACGGCAGAAATGTGTGATGACAGCAAAAATGTGTGATGACAGCAGAAATGTGTGATGACAGCAGAAATGTGTGATGACAGCAGAAATGTGTGATGACAGCAGAAATGTGTGATGACAGCAGAAATGTGTGATGACAGCAGAAATGTGTGATGACAGCAGAAATGTGGTTTCTGGGGAGAATATATAAAATATGGATTGACAGAAAAACAAATGAGATACTTCTCCAAAAAACCAACAACAAAAACACATATGAAAACTAAATTGATGTGAAAAATGAAATGCAGACAAGATTTATTTGATTTGCTTTGAGGAGAAATAAACTTGAAAGTGTAGTGATCACTGCAGACCTAATGGTAAAGGAATGTAGATAATAATGTTTGGACAACTGCTTGTATCATCAATGATATAAAAATATTTTTTGACAATATATTGGGCACAGCATGAAAAATGGACAGAGAATCCCAAAGCATGCACTAAAATAGGAAACACATAGATTTTGCTGATGATATTTCTCTTCTTTCCCATTCACGGAATCAGGCAAATAGTAATGTGGTTTCTCTAAATGGCACCCCACTCCAAGACGTGGAGTCATACACCTGTTTGGGCAGTAATGTAGATAAAGATGCGGGAACTAATAGAGATATTAAAATATGAATACAAAAGGCAAGAGGAGCTTTCATAGCACTAGGAAATTTGTGGAGGTCAAAAGAAAAACTAAACTCAAAATTTTAAAATTCTAATGTACTTTTGTATGGGGCGGAAACAAGAAGAACAAACAACTAAGCCAGCTACTAATAAACTACAGACATTCATTAACTGGTGCCTGCACAGAAGGCCAATCACAGAGATGAATGGAGGTGGATGATGTCTGCAGAAATGAACCTCAAGCGCTCAGAATGCTGAAGAAGAACAAGAAGAAGCAAATGAATAGATTCATGTTTTTATTTGAATTATTTGGGCTTGCAGATGTCAGCAATTTGTCATGATGAGACTGCAGTTGAATATGTGAAGAAAGAAGGAATATTTCGACCAAAGAAGTCTCGGCTGGTCTTGCTTCAGGAAGTGTTTGGGAGAAGTAAGTAGAATTTAAATTTAAATAACAGTGTTCATTATGTCAGGTATACACACACACAGTCATAGCCCTAAGCAAAAGAATCCTCTCTTGTTGTCTTCCTCTCCCTCTGTTTCCACAAATCTTTTCAGTTGTCACAGCTTGTTCCAGTTTTTCTTTCTTATAATATTGTTGTCAACTCTTGGCTTGCTTTCCATTAACTGTTTTAAAAAGCAATAACTCGTAGTGTTTCTGGAAATCTGGAACCTATTTCTTTTAATTAAAAGCCACTTAAAATACAACAGTATATATATATATATATATATATATATATATATATATATATATATATATATATATATATATATATATATATATATATATATATATATATATATATATATATATATATATATATGTCTGTGTGTGTGTGTGTGTGTGTGTTTTCAGACATATAGAGACAGAGACTGTCTTGTATGCATGCATTTTATGTGATTTGTATGTGCACGCATATATCTTCTCTCTCTCTCATTCTCTCTTTCTCTCTCTCTCTCTCTCTCTCTCTCTCTGGCTCGCTCGCTCACTCTCTGTGTCTGTGTGTTAATATTCAAATCTTGATTAAGACAGACTGTTAAATAAAGTATACTTTAAAATGAACAAAACTGGTACTAAAGCTGAAATTGCAACTTTATTTCTTCCGACACAGGTCACCCGTTGCTCTGGCTGTGGCCATTTCAAGATGTTCATGTAACAGAATCTCAGGAGCCCTTACAATATGTGTGAAATAATTGGCCAGATAACAGATGCATTATTTTAAACAGGTCACAGTGGAATTTACTGCTCATTTGCAGCATTTTCCCAATTGAAGCGAATTAAAGCATTTACAGTTGAATCCTTCCAGAAGGGTTAAATATCATCTTTTCCCCATTCTTTGGTTTGACCAAAATATGCTAATTTAAGTTCATGTCTTCATGGGCGACCTGAAATATAATAAAAATATAATAATTTCTATGCTTACCTTCATGGGTAACCTAGAATATAATAGTTTCAGCACATATTTTCATGGTAACTTGAAATATAATAATTTCAGTGCGAATATTCATGGAGGACATGAAATATAATAATTTTAGCACAAGTCTTCACCATAGGGGACTTGGAATATAATAAGTTCAGCACTTGTCTTCATGGGCGAACTTAAAATATAATAATTTTAGTGCATATCTTAACAGAGGGACTTTAACATTAGTATAATATTCTTTGAGGGCATGAAGTTAAACATTTTTATTGGGGGTAATGTAATTAAAATCGTGGTTTTTATTGAGATTATGGATTATAATGTGTAGAGGACAGCTCTTTATAATACTATAATTTCAGTACAGCTCTTTATAATACTATAATTTCAGTACAGCTCTTTATAATACTATAATTTCAGTACAGCTCTTTATAATACTATAATTTCAGTACAGCTCTTTATAATACTATAATTTCAGTACAGCTCTTTATAATACTATAATAACATGCAGGTCACAAATTGTGATATTTAAAGTATGTTCCTGAGGGCTGTGCAATTATAATATTTATAGTTCTTCATGAGGGAGATTCATGTTTACTGTAGAGTCCTTCATGAAGGACTTGAATTATAATAATTATAGTTGAGTTTTTCATGAGGGACATGAATTCATATATTAAAAGTTCTTCTTGGGGGGGGGGGGGGGTGTGGGGGGGGTTTGGGGGGGGGGGGGGGGGGGGTGTGTCCTGGAATTATATTTATAGTCAAGCTCTCAAATTAATATAATTGATAATATCTATAGTTGATCTCTTCATGATGGACTTAATTATAATATTTATAGTCGGGGTTCTTTGTGGGGGAATTAAATATATTTTTGTGTGCGTGTGTGGGAGTGAGTGAGTGAGTGAGAGAGAAAGAGAGCATTCCATTATTATATTTGAGGAATTTTGGAATGTTTGGAGCCATCATTGTGTTATAATGTTTGGAATGTCCGTGAGATCATTCAGTTAGAAAATTTGAGGTATTTTTGAATATGTGGGACCAAACCATTTTAATTTTAAAGGGTATTTGGAATGTTTATAATCAATATTCTGTTTTAATATTTTTTTGTATGTGGGTGATCGTTCTGTTGACCATTCTATTATAATATGTGAGGGGTATTGGATTACGTATGATAGATGAAGACCTTTGCCACACCTTAGGCAAATTGGGTATATAGGGCTAGACCTACATGTTTTTAGTCCAATCAGCTTTCGTTGAGTGATGTGATCAATATCATGTCGACCACCTTTACCTCCCAGGACTTTACCTGGTACCAACTTTAGACAGAGTCAGCCAGGAAGCCCAGTGTCATTCAAAAAATAAAATTGATGCTGATTTGAACCCACAACTTTTGGGTCCGCAAGCGAGTGTCTGGCTGCTTTCATGAGAGATGTTGGAATACTTTTACCATTCCAGAATCATTTGTAAGGGGGTTTGAATTATTTGTGATATTTATTTTAATGATTGGAATAGATGTGCCCTTTCCATTAGAATAGTAGAAGCATACTGGAATATCTGTGATTAAAATTATAATATTTTTTAGAATGTGTGGCCATTGCATCATAATGTTTGAAGTATTTTAGAGCATGTCTGACCATTCTTTTATAAGTTTGAAACATGTTGAGATGTTTGTTGATGTTTATGTTACAATGCTTGGGAGATTATGTTACAGCGTTAGTAACAAGCAATCATTCCGTTAAAATATTTGAAGAAGCTAAAACATTAGAGCTTTTTCGTATAATATTGCACACATGCAGTGTCTGCAATAATTCCGTTATAAAGTATCATTCCCCTATAAAGTATCATTCCCCTATAAAGTATCATTCCCTTTTGGGTTTGAGGGCACCATCTTTGGGAGGCGGGATGTAAAAGTAATTGACTTAGCCCCCCCAACAAGCATGTCATAAGAGGCGACTAATTAGAGATTTGCTGAAATTGAATCTGTTGGGCCAAAAGGCAGATATCACAGCCTAGCTGTAAACCACAACACAATATGCCAGCTTTAGAGCAAAAAATTACAAAAGCACTTAAATGGGATACAAACGGTCTGAGAAAAAAGAGGACGTTCAAGGGAAACATTAAGAAGAACATTATTATGAGAAACTAAAAATGCTGGGCTGAATTCAAACATCAAAGAGCTGCATGCAGTAGAGGAATCGAATGTGAGTCCTGTGTGACGTCTTAACAGTACACGAATGATGATGATGAATGTTAATTTGCACCTTTCCATCTTTCCAGATGATAGTGTTTCATTGTGCTAGCGAGGAGCTTAGGTATCGTTACCCTTGGGGATACTGATTAAGGTCAGGGGTGAAGTTCCTCCTCTCCATTGCACAAAAACCTGGGCCTAGAGACCAAGAGCTGCTTGTGCAGCATAATCTTCTCTTCTCAACCTGTTTTGTTATCTGACAGGGAAAGGTAACACCATTAGGCTTGGAACAAAGCATGCTGCAGAAGATGCTGGAACAGAAGAGCAGTGCTCTGTCTATCCACCTGTGATAGCTTCCCTCCTAAACCAGCTCCCAACCAAGACTAAGAGTCCGGTTTTGTCCTGCCATAATAATAAAACAAATTTCAGGTTGCATTTCCTCTTTCCTGTGGTAAGACTAGTATCCTCCCCTCCCTTCTCTGGCAAAGCTATTGACACAGGTGAGATGTCAGGTTTGACTGTACACTTCCCAAAGTTTATGTTACTACTTCTCTGTATCTAAACCACTGCCAGCATTTAAAATTGCTCAAGTATTTCATTTGAAAGTAAGATGCTGTTTATGAGCCAGTTTTCCTTTTTTATCCTGGAATATAGCATTTTTTTCCCCCTGTCCAGTTCTAAGAAGTTTCCTGTACATTTTAGTTTAGAAGCCTCAATTTTTCTTCTGTTATGTTAAAAAAAAAAAAAAATCACCGAAGACTCACGTCCGTATGTTTGCACAGTCAAAATGAATGTTGATAGTGTTTTATTTTATCTGTTGGTATGGTGCCGTAGGCTTGTTTATAGTTGACCTCTGCATTGCCCTAACCATTTTTCTTTGACTGACTTTGTTTGAGCAGTTCTCCATTGTTGCAGGGTATAAAGTTAGTTGTATCTTCTTAGGACATTGCAAGAACCAACTCCAGCATTGTTTGGCGTTTTATTAAGCAGTTTTATTTCAGTAGTATGCCGTGCCATTTGCTTCCAAACTGTCTGTTCTCATTCATCATCAGTCAACAAGTCCTTTACGGGAATGTCGCTCTCTTCACGGCATGCTTGAAATTATCCCTTTCCCTAAGCAGCTCTCCAGCCCCATGTGTTTTTCAATGCTAATGCATCTTCACTTCCCTATGTCCATCTTCGCAGAGGGCCGACCTCTGCATGAGAAACTAAAAATGCTGGGCTGAATTCAAACATCAAAGAGCTGCATGCAGTAGAGGAATCGAATGTGAGTCCTGTGTGACGTCTTAACAGTACACGAATGATGATGATGAATGTTAATTTGCACCTTTCCATCTTTCCAGATGATAGTGTTTCATTGTGCTAGCGAGGAGCTTAGGTATCGTTACCCTTGGGGATACTGATTAAGGTCAGGGGTGAAGTTCCTCCTCTCCATTGCACAAAACCTGGGCCTAGAGACCAAGAGCTGCTTGTGCAGCATAATCTCTTCCTCAACCTGTTTTGTTATCTGCAAGGGAAAGGTAACACCATTAGGCTTGGAACAAAGCATGCTGCAGAAGATGCTGGAACAGAAGAGCAGTGCTCTGTCTATCCACCTGTGATAGCTTCCCTCCTAAACCAGCTCCCAACCAAGACTAAGAGTCCGGTTTGTCCTGCCATAATAATAAAACAAATTTCAGGTTGCATTTCCTCTTCCTGTGGTAAGACTAGTATCCTCCCCTCCCTTCTCTGGCAAAAGCTATTGACACAGGTGAGATGTCAGGTTTGACTGTACACTTCCCAAAGTTTATGTTACTACTTCTCTGTATCTAAACCACTGCAGCATTTAAAATTGCTCAAGTATTTCATTTGAAAGTAAGATGCTGTTTATGAGCCAGTTTTCCTTTTTTATCCTGGAATATAGGCATTTTTTTCCCCCTGTCCAGTTCTAAGAAGTTTCCTGTACATTTTAGTTTAGAAGCCTCAATTTTTCTTCTGTTATGTTAAAAAAAAAAAAAAATCACCGAAGACTCACGTCCGTATGTTTGCACAGTCAAAATGAATGTTGATAGTGTTTTATTTTATCTGTTGGTATGTGCCGTAGGCTTGTTTATAGTTGACCTCTGCATTGCCCTAACCATTCTTCTTCTGACTTTGTTTGAGCAGTCTCCATTGTTGCAGGGTATAAAGTTAGTTGTATCTTCTTAGGACATTGCAGAACCAACTCCAGCATTGTTTGGTTTTATTAAGCAGTTTTATTTTCAGTAGTATGCCGTGCCATTTGCTTCCAAACTGTCTGTTCTCATTCATCATCAGTCAACAAGTCCTTTACGGGAATGTCGCTCTCTTCACGGCATGCTTGAAATTATCCCTTTCCCTAAGCAGCTCTCCAGCCCCATGTGTTTTCAATGCTAATGCATCTTCACTGTCCTATGTCCATCTTCGCAGAGGCCGACCTCTGCCTTGCTTTCTGCTTCCATGTTGAGTTTCTAGGGATATATATAATGTGATATTCTTCCCTTGTTTTCCGCATAACATGCTTTATTGATGAGATACAACTGCTGTGTGAAAGATCGGAGTTTGGAAGGGCCGAATGTAAGACAG